TGGGGGGGGTGGGGATCTCAAGGGGGGCGGTTGGGGGGCGCTGTGGGGTCACAGAGGGTCAGAGGTCAGTGGGGGGTCAGAGGTCACAGCGCCCCCTGCTGTCCCTGCAGTTCGAGGAGGTGGCGGAGAAGGACGACCTCATGGGGGTGGAGGACACGGCCAGGAAGGATATCCTTGCCCCATAGCGACCCATGGCTGCCCCATAGCTGCCCCATAACCACCGCATAGCTGCCCCATAGCTGCCCTATAGATACCCCGTAACTGCCCCATAACCCCACCCCACCCATCTCTGCCCCATAGCTGCCCTATAGCCCCGCCCCATAGCCTTGCCCCATAGCTGCCCCATAACTCCACCCCATAGCTGCCCCATAGCTGTCCTATAGCTGCCCCATAACCCCACCCCATAACCCCACCTCACCTCACATCTGTGCCCTATAGCTGCCCCATAACCCTGCCCCATAGCTGCTTCATAGCTGCCCCATAGCTGCCCAATACCTGCTCCAGAGCTGCCCCATAACCCTGCCCCACAGCTGCCCCACAGCTGCCCCATAGCTGCCCCACAGCTGCTCCATAACCCTGCCCCATAGTTGCCCCATACCCTGCCCCATAGCTGCCCCATAGCTGTTCTATAGCTACCCCATAACCCTGCCCCATAGCTGCCCCATAGCTGCCTGATAGCTGTCCCATAGCTGCCCCATAGCCCCGCCCCATAGCTGCCCCATAGCTGCCCCATCTCTGCCCCCCAACCCCGCCGCCGTTTTTCCCCTTGACGCCGGACGCTTCTTCTCGAAGCCGCCGCTGCGGAGCCGCAACACGGTTTTCACGCTGGGGCAGCGGGGGGCGCTGCTGGGCAGCGCGGAGCTCGAGGCGCCCATCATCGTCCCGCACGCGGCGCAGCGCAGCGACGTCCGGGTCAGAACCGAACGGTGACCCGGAAGTGAACCCGCCACCCCCCACCCCTTACATTCACCCGGAAGTGACCCCATTGCCCTCCCCGCGCACATCGACACGGAGGTGACCCCATAACCCCCGCTCATTGACCCGGAAGTGACTCCGTACCCCCCCCCATAGATTGACCCGGAAGTGACCCCGTACCCCTCCTCTCCTCCCACACATCGACCCGGAG